CACCCAGGACAGTCCCACAAAACCTGGAACCATTGGGAGGTCTGCTTCAAACTTCCTACATTAAATTAACTGAAACCTTGTGCACAGACTACTTTTGAAGATTTATTTTTCAAATTAATGGCCACCTCCCCCTGTTTTTCATAACTGACCGTTTCTTCAATTGGACTTGAAGGGGAGAGCTCATTCAGATCCTGGCTTGCATATAAATATTGCACAAAAACAAGTTAAAAGAACATTACAACAGTTGCAAAAATCAAGCACTCAAAACTAGGAAAAAACAGAATTAAGGTTGTCTGTGCAATCCTAATTCAGCTGCCTTGTGATTATGCATTATGATACAGTTCTTAATTATATATTATTTTTCCCACAGGACCCCTGCCTCATTCAATGCACAGAATAGACAGTGTACATTTAATGAGCAGTTATTCAATATTTTGTTTTCTCCTCATTGTTCAATGTTGTGCCCCATGCTTTATTTACTGCACACTATTCAAACCTTGTTCAGAATACACTGATTTCCTCATGGGCTTTTCTCTGTCTCTTACCACTACAGTATCTCAGTGTTTCACAAACATTAATTTATATCATAACACTCCTGTGATATCCATTTTACAGGTGGGGAACTGACGCAGAGGGAGATTAAGGTCAAAAGTACCCACTAATATTGGGTGCCCAATCTGAGACCTCCATACCCTGATTTTTTCAGAGTACTTAGCATTATATAGCACTTCATCTAGTCAAAGCATATCTCTCAGTGACTTCAGTTGCAGCTGTGAGTGCTGAACACTTCTGTAAATCAGACCCCATGCTCTCAATTGAGGCATCCAGAAAATGACACACAATGAGACAGCTTCCCAGTGTCCCAAGTGGTGGTGGTCTGGAGATGGCTCAGTCTTTCTCTGCTCTGAACCTGCTCACAGCTCTGGTTCTCAAGACACTATGTAGTTGTTTCCCTCGGGATTTCATAGAATCCTAGAATATCAGGGTTGGAAGGGATCTGAGAGTGCATCTAGTCCAACCCCCTGCTCAAAGCAGGATTTGGTTTGTGGGTTTTATTTTTTATTTTGCCCAGACTCAGGAACTTCTGGTTTTGGTCCTATGTGGTAGGAAAACAATACTGTATTTCATGATGGCCAAAAATGTGAACAAGTTGAATGGTAGAGACAGACTGAGCCATCTCTGGAAACTTTAAACATCTCCCTTTGGACATCATTAAATCCTACAGCATTTTCACCAGTTTCAGAACTCCTGGTTGAGAGAACAGAACTGGTGGATGCATGGCATTTCTCATAAGAACTTGGAGCTTTAGTTAATTTCTTTGCCCTTGAATTATGTTGCCACAAGCTAAATGTGTCATATTATGGGTTAATAATACACACGTTTTTATCCCCTCAACAAGGATTATATTTGTAATAATTGGCCTATTTTCTAGTCCTGGTCTGTTTAATCCTAAACTATTAGTGTGGAAAAAAGGAGTGGTATTCAGCTTTATTCCTCCCAGAACACCCATTTCCAGTGAGGTCCATTACAAATAGCTTTATTTCTAAAGCCACATAAAAAGCAAATCTAACTCTTTAGAGCAAAATACATATATGGAATATGAAAAAGACAGCCACAGTTTGAGAGTATTATATGCTAACCTCAATTATGCATACTTTGAACATTGCTAATACCAAATTACAGATTTATACCACTGATTCTAAAGTTTTCATAGCTGAATGCCTACCCTGTACTCTTAATTGCGAGGGAGGGAGTGGGAAATGTGAAACTAAGGAAACTGCTGTTTCCTCCCTTGTGATGAAATCCACCTGACACCTCTATGCTGTTATGAATGATTCACACTATTTTTTTTGTACTTATTTTCCTTTGCAGAAGATTTCCCTTGCTGTTTAATGTATCAGCCTCCTCCTGCTTTGTAAGAAGTCCTCTTTACCTGTGTCCAGTTACTGCTGTAGGTCAAAATGCTAGGTAAGGCATTCTAACTCATCATATCTACTCACACTTATTAATTAAGCTCACTTTTTGAAAATGTCAGTCAGTGCTTTGTGGATGCCAAGTTCAATAAAATCATGCTACAGCTTTAGAGTTCCCTACTGAAATATGCTTAGTGGGATGTACTGTAGCTGTTGTCATGCAGGTATCCTATATGAGGAAGAGCTTGTCTGTTAAAGGAACAGCCGTGAACATAATTTTATTTGTTTTTTGTTTTGTCATTTTTCTCAGTGAGGCAGTGCCCTATGTACCCCAATGGTATAACTCAAGGCTAATCAGACTTTTACATACAGGTAGACAATTTGAGTGTCTTGTGGATACCTCCCCTCCCATTCATGATTGCATAGTGTCCCTATGGCAACTAGATTGCTTATATGGGGAAAATATTTAAAGAATTATTGGTTGTCTAATTATCATCTGGAAAGCGCACCACAGATTGAGACTCTTTGATATAACTGCCTCACTGTACTAGCTTTGTCAAGGATCAGCTGCCCTTGATCTCTATTTATGCATTAGAATTTAGAGATTTAGGTACAAAAATTTGCTGGACCTCCGAAGAATCAGGTGCCAGATAAAGGATTTTACATTAAACTAGCACCAAGCTCTGACAGAGCCTGGCAATTTCCGGTCTAGTAGCAGCAGCAACAGGTGTTATCTATTTTGGCAATACAGTTGGAGGAGTGGGCCAAAAATAGTAGGAGCTGGAAAACTAGGTGCTGGCTGTGTCTTTGCAGTGCTACTGAGCAGGAGTGCATGAGGATCTAGATTTTTGCAGTACAACTGGAGAAGGTGCTGCACTTCTGAATTTACCTGGTAGAATGTGGAGGTTTGGGATTTGTAAAAGTAGCTGGATCTAAGGGCTGGATACATATCTTTATGGTGCTAGTGTGCCAGTTTGCAGCAGGATCAGGATTTTTTGGTGCACTGGGAGCTGTTAAATTTTGATAGGATGAACACCAAAAAACCCAAATTGGAATTTAAAATTGGCAGAAAGTAGGCACTGGATTGGGCTGCAGTGCATCAGGTTCTGGATTTTTTTTTACGGTGATGTAGTAGAGGCACACTTATTTTATATTTAGATTATACATTTTGGGGCTTTGGGCCAAAAATTGCAACGATCCAGCTATAACTGTTCTCTATCCAGGCTATGGAAGTTTTTGTAGTGTTTATTCTCTGAGATGCATCTGGGTCTGGATTTTTATTTTCTGGTAGGGTAGGAGGCAGCTGGACTTGTTCACTATTTTGATGGTACAGCTTGTGACTTTGGAGCCAAGAATCAGCAGACTCCAGATTTCTTCCCATTTTCTCCCCCTCCCCCCCATGTTCTGCGGAGAATCGGTGAGGTGGGCAGAGGAGGTGGGAGATGGATGCGCTAGGACAAGGCACAGCCAGTACTCTAGGGAAGATCACTCATTGAAGTGGGCGGCAGCCGAGATTTCCCTCTGCTTCTCCCGTTCCATTCCCTAATATAGAAGCGCTTCCGGCGGCGTGGAACACTTTGACATCATCCCCCGCACCCTGATGACGTCAGCGCCGGGAGCTGTGTGTGACGTTGGTGCGTAGGGGAACGCGCTGACGTGTCCTATTTAAAGGTCCCCAAGCGGAGGATGGAGACAGAGAGAGCAGGTGCCGCTGTGGGGAACGCCGGGGCTGCAGAGCACAGGGAGGGAGCGCGCGGCGCAGCCTGCTGGGGACCGTAGGGTGCCCCGCCGCGGGGAGGAGGCGGGGCAAGTGCCCAGCCGGGACCGTTAAGTCGCCGCGGTCGCGCGGACAGAACAAGCGCCTCGTCCGGCGCTCGAGGGGTGGGAGCGAGAGACGAGGGGGCCGGGGCAAGCAGCGCCTGTTCCCGGGAGCGAGGGAGGCAGAGACGGAGCGGAGCTGGAGCGGGGGCGAGTGTGAGGGAGGGGGGAGGTGCGCGGGGAGCCGGCGGCTCGGGGGCGCTGGAGCAGCCGGGTGCAGCCCGACATTGAGCTCCCAGCCGCGATACGCCAGTCGCCGCGCGACACTGGGATCCCGCCGCCGTGTGCGGGGCCAGGGAGCGGGGGGGCCGCGCGGCTCCGTCCCTTGGTCCGTACCGTGCCCCTGCGGCATAGGGGAGCGGGGGGCGCTGCCGCTCTCGGTGATTGATCCGCCTCTCCGAGCCCGGAGGAAGATGCTCGCCCGCTCGCTGCAGGATGAGGCGTGACTGAAAGGACCCGTCCCCGCTGGAAGAGGGAGCGGCGCCCCGCGTCTCCACGGCCGGTAGGGGGGCCTCTCTCTGCGGGGGATGTGCCACCGGTGCTCCCCCATAGCTGCTGCTGCCCGCGCGCTCTGGGAGCCTCATGCCAGCGCCGGTGAAACGGCTCGCTCCGCCTCCGCCTGCTGCTCGGGAAAATGAATCGATACCCCCCATCCTGCTGCTGCTGCCGCCGGCGGGGGTGTTAGAGGGAGAGGCGGCGGGCAGCGCTGCGCATAACGCCGGCCGCATCCCGCGCTGCACCTGACATACCCCGAGCTCGCGCTGCCCTGGGGCTTTGCTTACCCGGGGGATAAACGCTGCTGCAGGGTCCCTCGCCCCCGTGAGAGGCGAGCGTCTCCCCTTCTCCCCGCGCAAGGAGAGGCTGGCTGGCTGTGGGGAGGGGATTTGCTGTCTGCTGCTACCTCCGAGGCCATCTCCTCTGGCAGCGGGCTGGAGATACAGGAGAAGACCGTGCTGCGAGAGGATATGGGAGAAACCCCTCTCGGGCTTCTTCCTTAGGACGCTTCGGCTCCTTCTCCTTCCAAAGGGGATTGTGATTTCTTTGGCTACAACCCCACATGCCTATGGACTCCCGTTGTGGGAGGCGCTGACCCGCTAGGGCAGTGCTTAAGCCCTGCTAATAGGAGCGCGGGGCCACTTGGATTTCTCTGAAACGCCTGGGATATTCAAGCAGGGAAACGTGGTGACCCAGACTCGTGTCAGCATCGCTAAGGGAACGTCGGACTCGGACCAGAGGGGTAGAGAACCAACAACGTGGTGGAGAGGCGAGGAAAATCCTCTGGGAATCGTCTATAGAGCAACTTCGGCGCAAGTCTCCGTTGGGCATCATGGGGTAAGGATTTCATACTAAGAAATGGACTTGTCAAGAGGAACATAAAAAGGAACTGGGTTTCCAGTGGTTCACAAGTTATAAGCAAAATACATAGGTCCAACATGAAATGCAGAACAAATGAGCTTTTAAATTCTATTGTCAATAAGCTTTTCTGGTACAGGAAGTCTGGTATGTAGAAATTTGTCATTTTAACTTTTAGTAGAATGAATGCTTTCATGGCCATGTGATATAGTCTTTGGTGTCTCAGCACTATGGACTTGGATAGGGCACCAGGAGTTGTATTAAAGGACACTGTTATTTCTATAACAGGTTTCTGCTAACAAGTTGAGTAGGGGACTAGGGAATATTTCAGCAACAAGACATGAAATGATAGTGAGAAAAACAGCAAATTGTGTTTCTGCCCTTTCCAGACTGGGATACCATCTATTTCATGTTTATATTTTTAAGTTTTACTCTGAAAAGTGAATGAAAATGGCATCTCCCTACTGAACTGATCATTTCCTTATGTGACTCTAGTCATACCTACTTGCATTGTGACAAACCATTTTACTCCTATTGGCTCTGCAGGGCCAGATCAGCTAAGAAAGCGATTTGCATTCTATTATTTGGGCATCCTCAGAATTATTTAATAAATTACATTTTGTAACCTATGCAAATCCACCGAAGACGACAGAGTTGTGCAGGTTTCATTGATCACAACTTGGTTTGCAGAACTCTCTCTTTCTGGTGCTGACACACAAGAAGAAAAGAACCCAGCTTGACTTTCAGATCCCAGACTGGGAGAAACATGAAAACTTTCAGTGACATTTTTAGTCACTTTCAGAGTTGAACCATAGTTTAAAGTATAGCTTGTTACATTGACTTAACAGTAGGTACTAGGGAAGGAAACATTTGTTCTAGCTCCTTTTCCAGGTTCCCTACAGAACAGAAATTAGATCTAATGTATAGTTTTCCCAGATTTTATAGAATGTTCTCTGTATTGGAAAACTACTGTACACTAGTTATTCTCTGTAAATCAGAACTTGTAAAGTAGAGAGATGGGGTAAAATTTAAGTCATTTAGGCTCTGACGTGACTTAGCCATTCCGGAAATTTTTTCCCATGACCAACTGGAATTTTAATAAAAAGTCTTGAAGTCATCCCAAGCAGCACACTTGGTTGGGCGGCCTCTACCAAGTATAATGGAAAAACCATATGATCTCTCTGGATCTCTCTGGGTTTTTTTTTCTTTTTTAATGTCTTTCTCCTTTTTCTTTGCACAGAACATCAGTTGGGGATATTTGACTAATTCACTATACACAGGAAACAGTAGTGTGGATTATAAAGAAAATGTTATCAAATGCATTGAGTAAACCCCAAAAAATCCTCCCCCCAAAAAATCCTCCCCCCACCCCCAATGTTTTGTAATTATACTAACTTTATACAATAGTAAGGCCAACATTTCAGACAGAAATGTGACTCAAGACAAGTTATGGTCCTTCAGTGTCTCGTTCATATAGGGGTTTGTGCTGGGAAGTGAAAAGTGCATTTCTCCTCAAGGACAGTTAAATGGGCATTTTAAATCTCAATTTTTTTCAGCAGCTACTTGGGGGGCTTTAGGCTGTTCTGAATATGTTCTGGTATGTAATTTTGGAGTAGACTATATAGAAGGCATGGAATGAATAGACTGATGATCTTTTAGATCCCAGTGGTACACCTCTCTTGTTCTTAGGCTAGCTATTATATTCTTGCTTTCTTTCTTCTTTTCCACTCACCCACCAGACAACAACCCAACTCACTTTTCATTTGCAGCAAGCTACATACATAGAAGATGTATTCAAGCAAGCAGTAATGTAGGTACTCCTTGTGATACAAGTGGCTAAATGATTGTGGGGTCTTCATAGAATATAAATGTTGTGCAGACCTTAGTGTAGTTTTAATTCAGATGTAGAAATTGTTGCTTTTGGAAGACTTTCAAAATACTACTAAAGTCTGCTCTTAATAGTTTTTCTAAGAACTTGGTTAGTTGATCTTACTCCACATATGAATGGAAAATGTGCTTTGTCCTTCACAGAGCGGTGAAAAATATGAACATACTTAATGCTACCTGGATGTGTGTGTGTGTGTGTGTGTGTGTGTGTGTGTGTGTGTGTGTATATATATATATATATATATATATATATATATATATATATATATATAAAGTTCTGCCCAACATCCATGTTTTCACTATTCTGTAGTAAAAAGTAATGAGTTCCTCACCCCTTCACAACTTTATCATTTCTGAAAATAAAAGCTAGCCAGCATAAACTGAATATTTCACTATTGCAGAAAAATTAAAGTGTGTTGGTCTGGTGTGTTGGTTATTTTTTGTTAATTAACCAGTGCAAATTACCTCTTCTAGTAGAGGAGGTGGAAGTTTCTATAAATATTTCTTACAAATATATAAAATGTGAGGGGCTTTTGGAGTATATAGAGAGAGGAGAGACTACAAAAATGGCTTCCCAGAGAGTAGGTCCCTTAACTGAGTAATTTCAGCAGCAAATCACTAGCAGATCTTCATCTGAAGAATGACTCTCTTCAGAGAAAGTGCATGCCGGATAATGTAGAGAAACTTATTAACTCAGAAGCTGTACTATTCTCTCTGCAGATTTCCTTGTAAAGGAATGGGCACAATCAGATCAGAAATGCTGATATTTACCATTGCCAAGACTATTGCTGTATAGCCTTGTCTACACTTATCTGTTCCTGACAGTTTCACAATGAGTGCATGGGGACCATGTTTATCGAAGATTCAGCTGAATCCACTGTTAAGAATGGGCAATTTTGCTAGTGTTGAAAGCCACATAGCATGAAGTAACATTACCCTTCGTGGGACTGAAGTCCTTTTTTGTGTTAGAGGGTACTCTGTGACATTTGTGTAGATGCTTTTTCTAATGTAAGATATAGCAACTGTAACACCGCAATTTCTAAAGTTATCTCGATCATGGCTTTTTCTTCAAGCTTCTATTCAAAATGAATTCAAGTGGCATGCAAAGTGAATGACTGTAAACTCTTGAAGTTTAATCCTTTAGAGTCAAGTTACAAGAGTGCATGGCTACTCTGATAGAAGCAGTGAGGCAGTTTGAATTATCAACATTTAGGCAGGGGTGCATCTATTTTATCAAAATATCTAACACTTAATAGGTGCTGTTTTTCTACACACCTCTCATTCAACCTATGAACATACAAATTGGTACCAGGCCATACCAGTGGTGTATCTATTTCAGTGCTTAGTACCAGATGCTTCAGAGGAGGCACAAGAAACCCCATATAGACAATTGTGGAGTAAACTGTCCAAAAGAGAAGCTTTCTGTTTTAGTCAATCTAATATAACTGGATGTTCTTACTGACACTATAAATGTTATCCTTCTAAGCTCTTGAACTCATAGCCTCAGCATCTTGTGGCAAATAGCTTAACTATGCACTGTATAAAGTATTCCTTTTTTTCAATCTTCAGTTTGTTCATTTCAGTGTCACTGAATGTCCCTTTGCTTTTGTAATGTAAGAGAAGGTAAATAGAAATGCCTGATCTACTTTTGTCTGTAACATTCATTATTTTGTACCTTTTCATCATGCCCACTCTTATTCATCTCACTAAATAGTTCCAATATTCTTGGTCTCCCCTTGTATACAAATTTCTATATCTCCAGTCATTCACTGTCTGTTTCCTGAGTGTCTACAGAATAATTTCAATTCAAGTCCTATTAGAAGGAATAGTTTGTACTACTCATGAGTATTACCTTTTATTGTTTAACACAGAATTTCACCTGCAATTTTACAGCCTGTTCACCTTTGTTTTAACTTAGTGAAGACAACTTTGTCATCTAGAAGTTCTGTCAATTTGTTGTTCACCCTCTTTTTTAAAGATAATTGAAAAATATATTTAAATACCAGTTCTTCTATGAAAAACTTGGGCAACGGCTGTTAACCTTGCAAAGTGAAAACTGATCTCAGCTATACTTGTACTTTCCTGGATAAGATCCTGGTTTACTACACTACCTTTTGCCCTATAATCTTTTTCTTTCGTTAGGGTTACCAGTTTTGGCTGGATGTATTCCTGGACTGAAGGTTTCATCATGCCATAATCTTTAATTAAAAATGAATCTTTAATTCCTGGAGACTCCAGGACAATTCTGGAGGTTTGTCAACCCTTTCTTTCCTATGGCTTGGGTAGGTAGCAATGACTACAAATTTATACTTAAGTTTGATAGCCAGCACGTTGCCGCAGCAGTGAGCTGGTGAACGCCCTTCAGGCCCCTGGCAAATTATTAATTCCCTTAATAGCCTTTTTGCAGGACTTTGTCAAATATTTATTGAAAATACAAAGAAATTGTTAACCAGTTTGCCTTTTATTTACCCTTGCTGAATGATCAAAAAATTACAGTAAATGCTATCTTTGCTTTCTTTTTTTCTTTAATGATAGTTATGACATTTGTCAGCCTCCAGTCCTCGGGTGTGGCCGCAGACATTAACACATGTATGTTTTTGCATGCACTAGAACTTGAAAAAATTGCTGGGAGGTTGCACAGTCTGGATAGCAAGGCTTTCTCATCAACTGGGGAATGTTGTAGAAAGTAGTATGAGTGTACTTATTCCACAGATACTATTCGCTTAACCTAAACAGAAGTTCCACATGAGTACTTGAAATAGTGCATGCTGGGGCTCTTTTTAGACACCTGGCAGAATGCATATTTCTAGTTGACTGATTACCCTAATTTTGACTCATCTACATTGGGGTCTCTGAGTCTCAGGAATCTAGCTAACACTCTAATTTTTAGCAAATATATATTTGGTCTCTTTAAATCTTCTTAAAAAGTGGATTTTTCTTTAATTGTGTGGGACTCTGTCTCTGAGATAGGGCTTAGCTGCGGTGGGAGGGAGAGGAGAGGAGGGAGACCCTGCAGCAGTTAGCGTGGAGTAGCTAGTGTGCAATAATTCCCCATGTGAACACTCTTACTGCTCACTCAGAGTGCCTTAGTG